ACTTGACAAAGCCTCTGGCTCTGGCTTTCAATCCAAAAATGAATATTTGTTTGGCAAGATTGATATGCAGCTCAAGCTTGTCCCTGGAAATTCTGCTGGCACTGTCACAGCCTACTATGTAAGTTCATCTTTGGAATATTTGTTACACTTTCATTTTCTTGAAGCTTTCTTGTATCTGACTGATTTATTGAATTTTTTGTTGATTTTTGCAGTTATCCTCAAAAGGGTCAACCTGGGATGAGATAGATTTTGAGTTCTTGGGGAACTTGAGTGGTGATCCTTACATTCTTCACACCAATGTCTTCAGCCAAGGCAAAGGAAACAGAGAGCAACAATTCTATCTCTGGTTTGACCCAACTGCTGATTTCCACACCTATTCAATTCTTTGGAACCCACAGCGCATTGTGTAAGTAACCCAATAACCCAAATCTTGTTCAAATCAAGTTTCAACTTTCAATTGCTAATGCGGTCTTAGATTTAGTGGTAGAACTGTTGGCAACTTGGCATGCAGACTAGTGGTCTGCGATCCCTCATGCCACCGTGTGGTCTGCGGTTCAAATATATGTATTTTTTTCCTTCTATAGTCCATTCTCCACTAACTTTACTCTGTGTTTGCTCTGTTTCAGCTTCTCTGTAGATGGCACTCCCATCAGAGAGTTCAAGAACCAAGAATCCAACGGTGTTCCGTTCCCAAAGAACCAACCAATGAGGATCTACTCAAGCCTTTGGAATGCAGATGATTGGGCCACAAGGGGTGGGCTTATCAAAACAGATTGGAGCAGAGCTCCTTTCACTGCTTCCTACAGGAACTTCAATGCCAACAATGCTTGTGTTTCATCAAATGGAGCTTCTTCATGCAGCTCATCAACTAGCAACGCATGGCTCTCAGAAGAGCTTGATTTAACGAGGCAGGAGAGGCTGAGATGGGTGCAGAAAAACTACATGATCTATAATTACTGCACTGACGCTAAGCGATTTCCCCAGGGCCTCCCTACAGAATGCAAGTCATAAATGGCTTAAATTAAA